CGGAAACCATCACAACGGAATTCTAATGGAAAGCTTCACGATCGGAATCCGTTGCAGGGGGCCACGACGCGATTCATCATGAAGGCACTGGGGAAAACCATGGAAACCAAAGGAACAAACGAACAAACCAAATCCGCCGATCTGGCGTGTGAGTTTCTGAGAGCGCGGGCTTGAGCTCGCTCAAGCTTCGCTCTGCAAGGGGGGGGCGGACGCCAACGACGAAAGAATTGACACGCAAGGCCTCCCCAATGCTGGGACCGCCCCCCCCCCCCCCCTTTGCACCTTCCTTCTCCGGCGCCCTCCCCCCCTCTTTCCTGCACCCCCCCCCCTTCCCCTGCAATCTCCTCTCCGCCCCCCCCCCCCCCCCCCCTCTTCCTGTGGGTGGGGGGGGAGAGGGGTGGTGGTGGACAGGAGAGCGGTGGGGGGGACAGTAGAGAGGGGGGGGGAGGGGGAAAAGAGAGAGGGGGGGGGCAAGTTAGGTGCGCTCGCGTCAACATCTGACATCCTACCCCTCCCTCCCATCCCTTACCATGGCGCAGATTTTCTCTATCCGCGGACGCGTGTCGTAGCGGACCTGTGGCTCCGCGCGCGTGTGCGTAGTGGGTGGTGGTGCGCGTGCGTGCGTGCGTGTGTGCGTGGTTGTGGTTGTTGTGGTGGTGGTGTGTGTGTATGTGTGTGTGTGTGTGTGTGTGTGTGCGTGTGTGTGTGTGCGCGTGTGCTGTGGTGTGACGTGGTGTGGCGTCTTGGTGGTTTGGTGGTGGGCCAGGTGCGTACGTGCGTGATGGCGGTGGTGGTGGTGGCTGTGTGTGTGTGTGTGTGTGTGTCTGTGTGTGTGTGTGTGTGTGTGTGTGTGTGTGTGTGTGTTGTGTGTGTGTGTGTGTGTGCTGTGTGTGTGTGTGTGTGTGCGTGCGTGCGTGCGTGCGTGCGTGCGTGCGTGCGTGCGTGCGTGCGTGCGTGTGTGTCTGTGTGTGCGCGCGTGTGATGTGGTGTGACGCGGTGTAGCGTGGTGGTGGTGGGTGGGGTAGTGCGGTGGTGGTGGCGGTGCGCGGTGGTGGTGCGCGTGCGTGCGTGCGTGCGTTGGTGGGTGGAAGTGGCGGTGGGTGTGCGTGCGGCGGGGCGGGGCGTGGTGCGGCGCGGTGGTGGCGGGCGGATGGGCGCGCGAGAAAGAGGCCCGCGCTGGGGCGAGAACGCCATCCTGAACGACGGAGGCAAAACACCGATCCGAAAATGAGGCCCACGCTGCAGCGGGAGCACGATTCGGAACGATTCGGGAGCAGAAATGAGGCCGGCGCCTCAGCGAGAGCAGCATTTTGAAAAAAAACGCAGGCGAAAACCCAACTCCCAGGAATCCTGTGTGTAAAAAACAATACGCGGGGGGGGGTCGAGTATTCCCAGCACGCCATCAGGGGAAGAGGGAGAGTAGTATTCATATTGAGTAATTGTACAGGAGTGAGGGGGGGGGACAGGTAGGAGAGAGGGGGGGGGGGACAGGAGAGAGGGGCGGCGGGAGAGGGGAGGTGGGACAGGAGAGGGGGGGAGGGGAGGGGGGGGGGAGGGACAGGAGAGAGGGGAGGGGGGGGGGACAGGAGAGAGGAGGGGGGGAACAGGAGAGAGGGGTGGGGAGGGGGGCAGGGGAGAGGGGGAGGGGAGTGGGGGAGGGTGGGACAGGGAGAGACGGGGGGGGGGGACAGGAGAGAGGGGGGGGAGGGGGGGAAAGGAGAGAGAGGAGGGGGGGGACAGGAGAGAGGGGGGGGACAGGAGAGAGGATGGGGGGTGGGGGGAGGGGCGGGATCATCACCATCGCCATCACCATCACCATCACCATCACCATCGTCACATCATCATCATCATCATCATCATCATCATCATCATCATCATCATCATCATCATCATCATCATCATCATCATCATCACCATCATCATCATCATTATCACCATCATCACCATTATCATCATCATCATCATCATCATCATCATCATCATCATCATCATCATCATCATCATCATCATCATCATCCAGAGCGACCCGGATCGGCGGCACTGGCCGGAGGCCACTACAATCAAATACATCAAACACACATCGCTGAACAACCACACACATCCAAAGGAACGGTAAGACACACCCAACACATTGTCTGGGCAATGGGCCCAACCATATGCAGTTGTGAGTATCGCCGTCGTGGGTATCGCCTTCGGTATACATATCTCTTTATGGGGCCACGAAGCGTGTAACGGGTGTGCGGAAATGGAGCGGGGATGCATGTGGGCGCAACCATGGGGGCCATCGGTGGAGCTCCATATGGGGCCACGAAGCGTGTAAAGGGTGTGCCGAAATGGGGAGGGGCCGCCATGCGAACGTCGCCACTGGGGCCTTCGGTGGAGCTCCCTATGCGGCCTCGAAGCGCTGTACTGGGTGGGGGAGGCGCATGCGGACAGCGCCACTGGGGCCTTCGGTGGAGCTCCCTTGGTTGCCACGGAGCGCTGTACTAGGCGGGGGAGGCGCATGCGAACACCGCCGCTGAGGCCTTCGGTGGAGCTCCCGTATGGGGCCACGAAGTGCTGTACTGGGTGGGTGAAGCGCATGCGGACAGCGCCACTGGGGCCTTCGGTGGAGCTCCCTTGGGGCCACGACGCGCTGTACTGGGCGGGGGAAACGCATGCGGACACCGCCACTGGCGCCTTCGGTGAAACTTTCTATGTTGCCACGAAGCGTTGTACTGGGTGGGGGAAACAACGAATGTGGACACCGGCACTGGTGCCTTCAGTGGGTCTCCCTACGGGGCCACGAAGCGCTGTACTGGGTGGGGGAAACGCATGCGGACACCGCCACTGGTGGCTTCGGTGGAACTCCCTATGGGGCCACGAAGCGCTGTACTGGGTGGGGGAAGCGCATGCGGACACCGCCACTGGGGCCTTCGGTGGAGCTCCCTGTGGGGCCACGAAGCGCTGTACTGGGTGGCCACTGGTGCCTTCGGTGGAGCTCCCGATGGGACCACGAAGCGCTGTACTGGGTGGGGGAAGCGCATGCGGACAACGCCAGTGGGGCCTTCAGTGGAGCTCTCTCTGGTGCCACGGAGCGCTGTACTGGGCGGGGGAAAAAGCATGCGGGCAGCGCCACTGGTGCCTTCGGTGGAGCTCCCTATAGGGCCACTAAGCGTTGTACTGGGTGGGGGAGACGCCTGCGGACAGCGCCACTGAGGCCTTCGGTGTAGCTTTCCATGGTGCCACGAAGCGCTGTACTGGGCGGGGGAAACGCATGCGAACTATGCCAATGTGGCCTTCGGCGGGATTCCCTATGGTACCACGGAAAGTTAAGGGTGTGCCACGTGGGGGGGGGGCGGAATGCGAACCATGCCGCTGGGGCCTTCGGTGGAGTTCCGTACGGGGCCACGAAGCGTGTGAGGGGTGTGCCAAAGTGGAGGAGGAGGTGTGGGGGGGAGGGCGGCAAGGGGCCACGGTGTGCCAAAGTGGAGGGGGGGCGGCATGCGAACCATGCCACTGGGGCCTTCGGTGGAGCTCCTGATGGGGCCACGAAGCGTGTGAGGGGTGTGCCAAAGTGAGGGGGGTGACGGGAGGAGGGAGGAGGGGGATCGGCGGGAAAAGGAGGGAGGGACAGGAGACGCGGAAGCTATCTCTCCAAAACGAGGACCCAACACCACAGGATGGCTGGGAACACATAATCCGCTAAGCACTCCACCTCTCCTCCTCCTCCTCCTCCTCCTCCTCCTCCTGCTCCTCCACCTCCGTCTCCTCCTAGCCCTTCCTGGCTTCAGGAGCCATCCGCGGGCGCACCTGGGAGCGGCGCAGCCCGTTGGAGCCGCGACGCGATGGGGCGGCACGGCGGCTGCCGAGGAGGCCCCATGGCGCCCCAGTTGCGCCGAGAGGGTGGCGACGAGCATGCTGCACGCTGCAATCGGGGCGACGTGCACGCGTCGGGCAGGGCCGCGCTGGACGCCGCCCGCCCGCAGACGGGAGCGCCCGAGCCGCCGCGGGCCAAGGTCAGGCCGTCAAGGAGGCGCTCCCTGCGCCCTTCGACGGCCTGACGTTGGGTCGGGCATGTACCCCTAGAGGCGGATTTTGGACGAACAACTACCCCCCAAAAATATTCAAACATAGTCAAGAATAGAAAAAAATGTCCCCATACTATTGATGGACAATTATTGAGTATTCCTCCTGTAGAGGGACACGCCCGACGTACTGCTAGGCCTCGAGAGGCTCCCCCAGCCTCGAGCCGCCCCCTGGCGCCTTGGGAGCTGCCTGCGAGGCTGGCGCGCGAGGAGGGCCCGCAGCCGCTCTCCTGGCGCAGCAGCTGCGTCCAGCGGTGGGCAGGAGATGCAGAGCAGCTGCGCCGAGAGGGACAAGCGGTCAAACAATACAAACAAGACGATGAGCACAAGGAGCACAGCAAGAAGGACGAGAGGGAGAAGAGGCAGCGTCGCCACCAGAGGAGCCACGAGTCTGCGCAGTGGGCTATATCTGCCGGCGGAGGAGATGTCCAAACTCGTGCTATGGAGGTCGAATGGCATGGCGGAGGAGACGGAGAAGGTGAACACGCAGTTTTTCAACATCGGCGACGACAGAGATGCGGCGCAGATGAAGGACGACAACGACTTGGAAGAGGAGGATATTACCCTGAGTGCGAGGTCCGAGGTTCTGGAGTTGGGCCCCGCATTGGAATTCAAGCAGGGCAGGCTTAAGAAATATATGTTCAAGAAGGGGTACGGGTACATCAATGACGATCCGAACCTGGGCAGCATCAAGGTGGGTGCAGGAGTGGAGTCTGCTGGTCTGCTGGTGTGGAGTCTGCTGGTGTCTGGCGCTATGGAGTGGAGCTGATGCTGGTGGAGGAGGTAGCAGGCCATCGACGTTACGACAAATCTGGCGTTTTTTCCGGCAAGGAGCAGCGCGACAAGCGACAGGCGTCAAGCGCTCTGGCGTGGAGTTGTCGTTGGCAGAGGAGGCCCTGGCATCGGCCAATGGAGCATCAACGAGTGCTCAGACTACGGCTGCGTCGACTGCGTCGACTTCCTGCGGAACCAGTGGCACTGGCTCCAGCGAGCCTGACGTTCGTCTTCCGGGAGCTCAAGCAGAAGCGGCAGGCCTTCCTCCCGAAGTTGGAGGGAGCCTCAAATGGCGGATCCTCTCTGCAGGGGCCGGTGACGGGCGCCCAAATTGACCGTCGGTCGCGGCGGTTGCTGGCCTGGCTCTCGTCGCCATTGCCGGATCCGCCATTTTCTGGCGTGGGCCCGTTGGGTTGGTGGCCTTGGCCTCTTGTCGCCTCTGCTGGTTTCGCCTCGTTTTGGCCTCCAGGCCAGTTTTCCGCTCGTGGCGGGTCGCCGCTGCCGGGCGCTGTTCGAAAAAACTTCAACGTCAACCAAGCTGTGGGCTCGTGCGGCGGTGTGGGGTACCTGCCATGGCTCTTGCTGGCCTTAGACAGCAGGAGTCGTAGCGGGCAGTCTGCCAGTAGTTCGCGCTGGGATAGGCTCGAAATGGGATGAAGAAGAGCGGAAAAGGAGGGGGAGGGGGAGGGGGAGGGTGAGGGTGAGGAGAGGGATGATGATGATGCTGATGCTGATGCTGAGGCTGATGCTGATGATGATGATGATGATGATGATGTGATGATGATGATGATGATGATGATGTTGCTGCTGCTGCTGATGCTTGATGATGCTGCTGATGATGATGAGGAGGAGGACGAGGAAGAGGAGGCGGAGGAGGGAGGAGGACAAGGAGGAGGATGAGGAGGAGGAGGGGGGAGGAGGAGGGGGAGGAGGGAGGAGGGGAGGAGGAGGAGGAGGAGGAGGAGGAGGAAGGAGGAGGATAACGAGGCGCAGGAGGATGATGAGGAGCAGGAGGATGATGAGGAGGAGGACGAGGAGGCGGAGGGGGAGGAGGAGGAAGAGAAGAAGGAGGAGGAGGATCTGTGGAGTAAATCATGCCTTTTTGTTTGCTCCTTCGGTTTTTAGCCCAACCATCTGGTGGTGTTCGGTCCTCGTTTTGAAAAGAGACATCCCCGAGACTCCCCCTCCTCTCCATTCCTCTCCACTCCTCTCCTCTCCTCTCCTGGCCTCGCCTCTCCTCGCCTCGCCTCGCCTTGCCTCGCCTCGCCTCGCCTCTCCTCTCCTCTCCTCTCCTCTCTCCTCTGACTCTCCTCTCCTCTCCTCTCCTCTCCTCTCTCTGCTCTCCTCCCCTCTTCCTCTCCTCCTCTCTCTCCCTCTCCTCTCCTTCTCTCCTCTCCGCTCTCTCCTCTCCTCTCCTCTCCTCTCCTCTCCTCTCCTCTCCTCTCCTCTTTCTCCTCCTCCTCCTCCTCCGCCTCCTCCTCCTCCCGCCCCTCAGTTTGGCACAACTCTCACACGTTTCGTGGCCCCAGAGGGGGCTCCACCGAAGGCCCCGGGCCCAAATGCCAGCGCTCGCATGCCGCCCCACTCCACTTTGGCACACCCCTCACACGTTTCGTGCCCCCCTCCACCGAAGATCCATATGCCAGCGCTCGCACGCGGCCGCCGCACCCATTTTGGCACACACCTCACATGTTTCGTGGCCCTATAGAGGGCTCCACCGAAGGCCCGAATGTCAGGGCTCACATGCGCCCGCCGAACTAATCTCGGTAGACCCCTCACACGTTTCGTGGCCCCATGGGGAATTCCACCGACGGCCCTTATGCCAGCACTCGCATGCGCCCACCGCGCCCATTTTGGCACACCCCTCACCCGTTTCGTGGCCCCATAGAGACGGAAAGAGGGCGGGAACGAGGCCCAACCAACCAGGGCCGTGCGAAGCCAGCAGCGGTCGCCGCTGGGCAGGCGACGCTCGTCCCGTGCGGGCAACGTCCGCGGCGGCATCGACAGCCGATCCTGCTTAGAAGTGGCCTTAGGTCGGGCATGTCCCCCTACAGGCGGGTTCTGCACGACAAAGCAGAATTATCCCGGCAAAGCAACCTAACAGCGATGTGTAGAAGCATATCTGAAAGCATTCCCCTTAAGATTCAGATGAAAATCCAGTTGTAAAATTCTGCTGTTCTCGCAGTCGTAGTCGCATTCGCGATGACAGTCGCAGCGGCAACGGCAGTCGCAGTCACAGCCTCAGCCTCAGCCTGCCTCAGCCTCAGCCCTCAGCCTCAGCCTCAGCCTGCCTCAGCCTCAGCCTCAGCCTCAGCCTGCTTCAGCCTCAGCCTCAGTCTGCCTTCAGCCTCGGCCTCAGCCTCAGCCTGCCTCAGCCTCAGCCTGCATCAGCCTCAGCCTCAGCCTCAGCCTGCCTCAGCCTCAGCCTGCCTCAGCCTCAGCCTCAGCCTGCCTCAGCCTCAGCCTCAGTCTGCTTCAGCCTCAGCCTCAGTCTGCCTTCAGCCTCGGCCTCAGCCTGCCTCAGCCTCAGCCTGCCTCAGCATCAGCCTGCCTCAGCATTCAAAATGTGGCCCAGGAATGGAGTTCTGGGAACTAGAAGAACACGAAGTGGCTTACAGTTGGCTCTGGGCATTCAAAATCATGCCCAGGAATGGAGTTCTGGGAACTAGAAGAACACGAAGTGGCCTACAGTTGGCTCTGGGCATTCAAAATCATGCCCAGGAATAGAGTTCTGGGAAGTCGAAGAGCACGAAGTGGCCTAGAGCTGGCTCCGGGCATCCAAAATGTGGCCCGGGAATGGAGTTCTGGGAAGTCGAAGAGCACGAAGTGGCCTACAGTTGGCTCCGGGCATCCAAAATGTGGCCCGGGAATGGAGTTCTGGGAGCACCAAGAGCGATTTAGCGAGGATGTCCCAAGCGATTTCGGTTTCGGCGGCAGCCTCCCCGGGTCCCGCCCCGACCCCCCTGAGGAGTCATCTGCTGCTCTCTTTTGAATCCACTAGAAACCTATCAGCAAAAGCTGTTAGGTAAATACTCTGAGAATGCTCAAAGCTAGTCAAAGAATCGTCCCAGACTATTTTCTGGACTATTTTTGGATATTCCTCCTGTAGAGGGACAGGCCCGACTTAATCCCACTTAGAACTGGCACGAACTGCTGTCGGTATCTGTTCCC